GACTTTTTTTTTTCTTCTAACAATGAGTCCACAGTGCTTTTTAAAGCAACTGGTTGAAGGAGATGGAATAAGTCCCTCATCTCCCCTCTACCACTCTATTTTATGATTTGTACTTAATTCAAGAATCATCCCACAGCTCAAGCTACCATCCAAGCTCAAGAATAGGAATGAATTCCACTTATGTGTCATTGCCATATGAGAAAGCATGCTGTACTCTGCCCGAGAGATCACACTAACACAGACAACCCTTCGTTAATCCTCAAATGCCGACAATCCTGTCGTCAGCGTTTTGACAATGGCAAGCTGATATTGAGCCCTCTTTTAGGCACAACCTAGTTGGCGGTCATAGGCCGAACTTACCCACGTCGGTAAAACCTCAGAATGCAATGAAGTGAACTTGACAAACCCTGGCTGCTTCATTTGTATGTGTTCATTTATCTTTGTTTGAGGCTAACATGGATTTAACAGACGGTTAGTGGTTCATTTTTGTCAAGCTCAACAGCCATGGGTACTCATGGGGCATGAAGTGTAAATTGGGTATCAGAAATGGTAAGAATTTAAGTGCCAATTAAAAGTTTTTTTCCCTCTCTGAAAAAAAAAAACTTTTAGAAAGTACTGACAGAGATCTTTTTTCAGAAAACTAATTTCTCTCTTTAACTAAATGTTCTAATTTGCTTCGAATGGCAAAGCAAAAAGCAAGAGAAAGGGTTTCGCTCTTCCCACTCAGGAAACTGTTTCTTACCATCAATGAAAATATTAGGTCAAAGCTCATAATCAGCGAAATCAGTGAAAATTGTACATTAATCAGTCGAAGTATTAAAACCACCTCAGCAACAACCTACGGGAAAAGACAGGTTCCTGGCAATAATGTGATCATTAACTTGTTTTTTGTACCAGCTGCCTGTACATTCAGAACATTTACATGCACTGCTGTATCAAGCTTTAGAATTCAAACTCTCTTTTTTTAATTTAAAAAAAAATGTATTTATTTATTTTAATTTTTTTTAAAATTATTTTATTTTATTTTATAAAAGAAAAAAAAAAGATTTCAAACTCTCTTGCTCACAATCACCCAATATATATAAATATACTGCCCATTGATATCTAGGTAATAGTTTAAAATGGCAGTGTAGCATATTAAAGGATTTTCCATTACGACCAATGAGTGAAAAAAAAAGAGTTTGATCTCACATGGCTTTATAATTATACTGAATCACATTCAGAGACAAAAGGCTGCGGAACAGCCAATGAAACCCAGAACCAGGAGAAGGGAAACGGGTGTCTGTAGTAAGTGGTCGGCTTGGTGGCTGCTATGGAAAGACCATTACAGCATGTACGCTCACTTGGAAACGGGCTCCACCTCTATCGGTCAGCCCCTTGTTTCGCTGGAGTGCCACGGATGCACGGCTTGCTGTATTGCATGTGGGAGTGACTCATGCCGTGGGTTCGCAGTGCACGTCCTGTCTGGAGCTTTTGCGTGGTGAAATCAACCTCTTCCCCTCCTCTATCTCCCTCCTTGCGTCGGGTGTTTTGTCAGTATCTGGTTGTGAGGAAGCGTGAGGGAGGAGCGTGTCCCGTTTTTGCCAAAAGTCTCTGAGCTGCTGTTGAGAACAGAACATCTGGATCGGGGAGAGTTCTTGTCAGTGCCAAAGAAAGACAGATGGCCAAAAATATCAATCAGACTTACATCTGGCAAGCACGAACCACAGCTGGACACACATGCAGGCCTGGTGCAGGTGGTGAGAATGCAGAGGTGACACAAACTGGTGGACACGACCATGTAACCAACTAACAGTTAAAATTCAGACATAACAAGCTGGGGTGAAGGATACAATATAAGAAATAAATTTGAAAAATCCGCGCCTGTGTGGGAGAGCTTTTCCCGCTAAATTCATCCCCGCGGAGCCTGTTTCCCCACTTTCACGTCAGCAGAAAGTGAGGGAAATGAAAACGTCAGCTCTCAACAAGAAGCGGGCGAATGAAAGATTTGGGGTCTAAATACCAGAGAAGACAAAAAAAAGGCAGGGTATGCTGAGGAAGAAGCGATGGCGAAAAGTCAACTCGGGTGAACAAATATGAATTTTTACGACATAAAATCATATGAGCAACTTGCCGTGTCTTCTTAAACATTACATCCCAGATGGCTGGTAACTCAAACACTGGATGATGAACAATTATGTGCTTTTTTGGCAGCGGGCCTCCTGTTTGTGTACTACTTACGAGTGGACTTTTGCGTGGGCTCTTGGCTGCACAGGGACTTGATTTGCAACTGATTTATGGATTTATTTGGACGTTTTGAATCCCCGCCTGTCTGTCTGCCTGCCAGGCCACCCCTCTGTCTGGCTTCTCTGGGTTTTTTTTTTTTTTTTTGCTTATGCAGATGTTTTGCAGGGTGAGGTCACAGCTATGCGAGGGCTTTGCATGTCCACACCCTTGCACGTCACCCAAGTGCTACGCGCTTAAAACCAGATTTCCCACTGTGAGAAGGACTTTCAAGTTGTTTTCAGCTGCACTGAACAGTCTGGGTCAGGCCACATGCTCACATTTTGCACACATCAGCTTTTGTTTTTGAAGTTGGTACATACTTTTGAGCTCAACAAAAAAACTTGTCCACATTGTGCTTCTGAGAAGAGCGGTCACATATTTTTTTTATTAAAAGAAAGCAAATAAATAAATAAATGTTAGTACTCAAGAAGATAAATTACAGCTAGAAAGCCCGACAATTCTGTGCTCACAGTCTTGGGGGCAAGACAGGGGAATGTAAAGGACCCCACAAAAAAATAACAAAAAAAGTTATTTTCCCAAAAAACACCAAAAAAGATATCAAACATTCTTGCTTCTCTGTATGCTTTTCCCTATCAAGTTCAAAATGATGCAGCTTTTGAATTTGACACGTGTGAAGATTTCAACCACCCAAACAAGACTTGAGCATGATATTTGTGAAATCACACCAGGGATTGTTTTTTTGTTTTGTTTTCTTGTCTGAGACGGTGCAGATGTGGTCAGTTGAGACTTGGACTGTGCAGGAGGGTAGAGAATGGACTCTCGTGTCCGTCTTTGAAAAATAACCCCACACGTCAACTCGCTGCTATCGCAGTGTTCAGAGCCTAAAGTTAAAGTACCCGTTACATCTCTTCCAGCTGCTTTGTAATAGGAACGAACCTCTGAATCTCCCTCATCCAGTAAACAGCCTACACAGAATGGTAAAATACTTACTGAATCGTAGCCAATATTCTGCAAAGCTAGCCTCTGACTAAAAGATATCTTATCCCCACGTCGATGCACTTTTTTTTCCTCTTGCCTTGCTTAATTTTCTGTTTCTTGTGTTTGGGCCCTGGTCTTTTTCCCTCACAGTTTTTAGGTTTTTCTTTTTAGTACGCTCAGTTCACATCATTTTAATTTCTGAGCAGCAAGCCTATCATCAGATGCCAGCCCTGTTCGCTCGGTGCTCCTCCTCTTCGTTTCTCACTGTCCCCGACCATATGAGGACACTTGCCGAGGCATCCGGTATTCCCTAACCAGAAACCCCTTTTCCCTGCCCCCCACAACACTCTTTCTACATCTCCCGTGGGGCCATTACGCATCAGTTTGCTTTTGCATCCTTACAAAATACCCCACACACACCGCACCTGCCCCACCACTCCTGGTGTCTGCCAGGTGCCAGTCAGATGGCACCGTTCCCAGAAGTGACTGGCAGAAGCCTTGATGTGTGCGAATAGTTATCTGCTTGCCTGTGCGTTTGTGCACGCTTACGCCTGCTCTTGGCAGAGGATGCAGCCTCACATTTAGAGAATGAGTAAAGCCACTTGAGCTGCTGCTATTGGATACTCTGCATTGCACACACATCTGAATGTGTGTGAGGGGCCATTACCAGCAACGCAGCAGCGATTATGAGAAGTGATGTGCCTTAGGGTGTGTATATATACATATATATATGTGTGGGGCTTTTGAACCCTGTGCAGTAGAGCAGAAAAGAGTTTTGATTGTATCTGTGTGTAGTCGGGAGAACCTCCACATGGACATGACACGTCTTCAGTGTAAGAGGAGGGTGCTGTCACACCCTTTAAACGCCAACATCCCGGTCAGTGGAGCAAACAGATGGTAAGGATATGATAAGTATACAGGCAATTTTGATTATTCCAAGAAATATGGCAGACCAGCTAAAAGAAAGAAAGTCTTCCAGTCTTCCACCAAAACAATTTAGGGATGATTTTGAGTCCCTAGAGGAATTTTTGTGGATACATTTAAAACACAAGTGAATGAGGACAAAAAAATCTAGATTATTTTAAAAGGAAAATGGGGCTGTGGAGGAATAAAGAACAAGAATGGTAATTATCCTTTTCTAAATAAGTTTTGTTTTGATGAAGTTGTGCTTCATTATGCTGGAACATTAGCATAGCTAAACAGGCCAGCAAGCTCAAAGCTCTAATTAGGAGGCGAAAGGCGGATTGTTCAGAGGGGGTAGAAGTCTGTGAGCGTGTGTGGGTGTGTCCTTGTGTGTGTCTGCGTTTGTACGAGCTACTCAACAGTTTTCTTGATGTTTCTTGGAGGGATGAAAGCCTACTTTGAGCCCGTGTTTTGTGTTAATTAACGTTTTACCTTTGTGACTTGTACAGTCTGTCTCCGAATGGAGAATCGATGAAGCATCATGATGGAACGCGTTTACGACATTAATGTAAAAAACAGCCTTGTTAAAAGATGATGGCAGAATAAGAGCTCAAGCTAATCAGTTAGATTTCTCCCACTTCACTCAATAATCTTGTCGCAACACAGCTGTTGGGGTGTAAATATTTTACGTGGTGTTCTTTATAGTTTAACACTGTTGTGTTAAAATTGCTTTGAATGAGCATTATGTCATGTAACTGATGCTTTCATTACCGTGCTCTTGTTTCATGATTTGTTTTGGGTGTATGTTGTTTTTTTTTGTTTTTTAATTCTAATTAAAATGCTGAATCTATAAGGACCAAACTTGACACATTTTCCTTTATGTGTGTCTGTAGTTCCAGGGAGCACGTGACCCCGGAGATGAACAAGCTTCGCCAGAGTCTAAGGAGGAAGAAGCCCACTTATGTGCCAGAGGCCAGTAGACCACATCAGTGGCAGGCTGATGAGGAGGCTGTTCGCAAGGGCAAATGTAACTTTGCTGTTCGGGTAAGTTTCTTTTTTTATTAAATACGATTTTGGAATAATTTGAAATCACAATACAGTATATTTACCCATCCATCCATGTTGTGACGCTTATCTGGGTCCAGGTGTGAGGGGGAACAGTCAGAAATATCCAGAACTCTCTCTCCAAGCCACTTCTTTAATCTCTGTCAGGGGATAAAAAGTCGTTTAAAAACCAAGCAAGAGATATAGTCTAGCAGTTTAACCCTAAAATGCCAAATGTATCATATTTGATTCATACGGTTTCTGAAGTCTTTTGGATCTGAGACTTTTTGCATCATTCAGTGGTAAAAGCTTTGCTCAAACCCCTGTTGTACAAATTCAGATATACCTTATAACAGCCAGTAGAAGACTACACCAAAATATATTTTGGATTTATTGCACGCTAATTTGATCAAAATAATTTCTTTTTTTTTTTTTTTCATATGTTGTTGAGGGGCCAAACAGAGACTTCAGACTAAAAATATCGAATATTCTTCCTATTTTTCTTGGATCAGGCTTTAAAGGGTTAATTTGCAATTAATCTTTTTTTAAAAATGAAAAACCTTTGAAAAAGGAAGTCTCCAGCCCCCCTGCAAACCTACTAGGAATAAGTGGTATGGATAATGGATGGTTGGATCATCAGCTGACAGCTTCCTGGACCGTCAGCTTTTTTGTTCTTTATATGATATTTAGCTGCATACACCCAAAAACCGGTGTAGATGTGATTTGCCATTGCTGAATTCAGATCAAATGGGGCAGAAATAGAAACCAGGAGGTATCAAGGACTGAAATCGTGTCCAATGCCGCATCCATTTGCAATTTAATGGGTGGATGTCTGTTCGTACTCATGGACATTAATTCCATCTGCCACTCAGTGAGCAGTGGGGTACACCCTTGACAAGTTACCCATCCATTGCAAATCTGTCTTTTTGCCATCACAGATAAGCTCACTGTGTATGTGTTTGGACTGTGGGAGGACAAAGCTCTTTGTGTTTTCAATAAGCATACAGAAATGTCAACGCTTGTGTTTTTCTACCTTCTGCAAAGATGTGATTCAAAATGAATTGGAGACAGGTGCCAAAATACTTGTGGCTTATCTTTGTCCAGAGCAAAACGAGACAGTGAAAGAGCTGCCGAGTAAAGCACATCCTTGTATTTGAACTCTGCTGCAGTAAACACAAAAAGTAACTTTATTAAGTGTCCTATTTACCCATAACCATCCCAAGTTTGAGCATGCACTGTATGAAAGCTGAGGTGATTTGTGTAAATGCTGAAGAGACTATGACAGAAAGAAATGGAGCGCTAAGCAGGAGGAGTGACAGCGAGGTTGAGTTATAGATTACAGACACCACAGGAAATGGCAGGGAGAGGGATGAGAGCACACGGGGGGATGGAAACACATTCCCAGATATGAAAAGAGAAAGACAGGAATAGAACAAGATAAAAGAGGTAGGGTAAGAAGCCTGTTAACCAAAAGGTGTAAAAAGAAAATTGTAAGACAGTGATAGAACGACATCTAAGTGCCTAACTAGCAATTATAGAGGTGGTAAAGTAAAGCTATGTGCTTACATCAGGCGTTAATGCATATAGAAAATATAAAGAAACATTTCCAATGCTACCATGGCTATATTTTCTTCCTATATATTCAAAGTTTTTTCAGTTTTATACATTCTTGAATTGCAAACTATTTACACAGAGCTAATAAAATGTACCAATTGAACAAAAACAGGGTATTTTAGCTTAGCTTTGTTCACTTTTACAAAACAAAATGGAACAATTTGGAAAGGTTTCTAGATTATTTTTTTTTGTTTTTCTTAGTGTGTGAAAAAGCTGTGGGAAGGTTTTCCTATTTCCACCAAAGAGAGGAGGCAAGAAAACCTCAGGATTATTTATCAGTCATGAAACTCTAACTGGAAATTGCAACTTAGCATGCTAGCTAGCAGACAAAAGGAATGTTTCTCTTTTTCAAAATATGAGCAACGAGGTTAAGAGAAAAAGAGAGCCAAAAGAGTAATGATAGCAGAAAGACATGGCAGCCTTTTTAAAGGTCCCTCTAAAAATAACAAACAGCTAAATATGTACCAGATATGCTGCATTGACACTGAATTAAAATCCTATATTATTGGTAGCAGTGTATCGTTCTAACACACCTTCACTCGAGAAATCACGTCACTGTAATAATAACTGTTATTTTTCAGTCAGGCAAAGTTAAGGAAATGACCAATTTTACCATATAAATGTAACCCATACCAGCTCATTTGCATTGAAAAGGACATTTAAACTGCATCGAGTCACATACTAGAGTTGTAAAATGAGAGTATTGTTTTTTTATTGTTTAGTATATTTATTGTTTTCTTTAACTACCACGAACTAAATACTTTAGAAAAGGTTCTGCTCGTCAATTTTGTAGGGTTGTTGGCTGTCACAGAGCATGCAATCCAGACGTGGTTTGGTTGAGAAAGAATAGTGATAAAGTAACAGCCTTATGCAAGAGGGACACATTGTTGAAAAAAAATCTGCAAGCATGCTGTAATTTAGGTCTGTACTCTATCTTTTTTGTTGGCTCTTTGCAGGCTAGTCACTGATATAGAATTATCTTATTTCTTAGCACAAAAATGCTAGAAAAAACATATTAACACATTAAACCTTTCCAGCTATGGGCTCTGTCTCATCATTTGAAAATGTACATCCTCGTAAACCTGCTGGTGTTCCTTTTGTAAAGATTTTTGCGTAGAAAGCAGAGGAGGCTCGGTGCCACGTAAGTGTGTGCTCACATGTAAGTAAGTAAAATGGGAGCCATGCCAAAATGATCTGAGTTTTGTACTATAGAAGTGGTTGTTTTAGTATTGGTATTGGTTGAAGCGCAAATAAAAACTTGAGAAATAAAACTTTCTCCTTTTTCTGAAAATTCTTTGTATCATGTTTCTTGGCTTTTGACTCTGGTGGCACTACGGCAGCCTTAATTGTGTCCCCATGGGCCCTGTGTGCACCACTGAGCAGAGCACTGGAGAGACAACAAAAGAGGATGTGAGGCTATAAATGACTCTATCCTTCTCTCACTCTCTCATCCTGTCCTCATTATGAGCACTAACATGCAGCTGTGTATCCAGTGCAATGCATACTTCAACTTGCCCGTCAATTTCCCAGCACTTACTAAAACATCGATTGGGGCTAATGAGGATGCGTTGGCATTTATATCACAGTTGTCTTCGTTTTTAGGGCTGATATGGATCAGTCTCAGCTGAGTTTTGTCGAAATGTGAAAAGTGAAGTGAAAATCTGTTTTGTTATGGTTATGGATGTTTTTGCATTTAGTTTCGTCATTTTTCTGCAGTACTTGGGACTAGTGGAGGTGGAGGAGTCGAGAGGGATGCATGTCTGTGAGGAGGCTGTGAAAAAGCTGAAAGTTGTAAGTATTACCCCTACATTCAAACACACAGGCGCACACACACACAGGTGTTTGCAGGTTCAACCCAAGATTACAAACATAATTGGAAATCATCACATGCTGTGTTGGTCAAAACTCAGGCACCAGTGTATGTACCCAATGGAGCACAAATAAACTTTTTTTTTTAACTTCTGGGTGATTCATCAGTAGCGTAATGCTTGACTTTGCCCCTTTAACCATAACCATCACAGCTGAATTCCAAAAGCCAACCTGAGCTTATTCAGAACCTAATAGTAACCAGAATAAAAAACATTTTGAGCATAAGAATTCCTTAAGAAATTAACTTTTTTTAAAAAAATCCTTAACCAAATAAATACAGGCTCTTTACATACTTTCCACATTCATTTTTTCCCCTCTTCTTCACCACTTCACCATCTCCCTGGTGGGTCATAGTCCTTATTTGTTTGTCTTTCAACAAATAAAGTCTTCTGCCCAATAACATTATGGAAGAATGTGCAAGGAATATGAATTAAATTGGTTTAAATTGTATATGTATATAAACAAAGTGACAAAGTTTATGTTCACTCTCTTATGATGCTGGATGTGGACAATGGAGCATGTGAACAGACGGTTATGGATACATCTCCCAAGAAAAGTTCATGGTGATTTTGCTTCTAAAAAAACACTTTGAATGAACTTTGACTAATTGGACCCTCACAGGAAAAATTGTTGTTTTGATGAATTAAATACTCACTTATTTAAATAATTTTAACTGTTTATTCTCACTCATTTTTATTTAGCTTTCCTTTCCTACACCAAAGTTCTTGTTCCCATCCTTTTCATACTCTTTATATTTTTTTCTTGCTTTTTTCTCATAAGTGAGCTTATGCAAAAATTGTGTCTTTTACTGGTGCACTGTTGATTTTCAAGTCAAATTCGGGAATGCGCCATGCTAACATGAGCTACCTTGCAGAACTTCACACACAGACTTGTGTGCATGCACTCACAACTAAGCTCACGTGGACTTTGTGTATTTTTAGCGTGGCCCATGCTGAGCGTGTTATTACCGCTGTGCGGAGCGCTCATCTGGAAAAATGTGCCAGTTGGCACGGTTTTTACCTCAACCTGCCTCTCCAAACCTAACCCTCCACTACCTCATCTGCACGTAGGGTGTAATCATCATTTTACACTGGTTTGCTTAGCAATAAAAGAGGCTTCACATTGTTTGCTTACATGCTTGTGGATCACGCCTCGCATCATCTGGGAGAACAGGCTCACAGCCGAAGCACGTTTGCCTGTAAATATTTTAAGCGAATGACTCTGGTTCTTTTTCTTTCCAGAGCGGCAAAAAGACAGTCAAAGCTGTACTGTGGGTTTCTGCTGATGGACTCAGGGTGGTGGACGACAAAACCAAGGTAAGAAAGCATTTGCTATGAATATGTTTTGTGTAGTCTTGTTTGGTGCAGACAGACATTTCATCCACAGCTAGTCTATCAGCCAGAAATGTCCCAGTAAGTCTTTTGATGCCTTTTGCGTAGCAACTCTCCAACAATTAGGAACGTATATTAGGGCAGATGTTTGAGATATCTTAACATATTCCATACAGTTTATTGTCATATGTATTGAATATATACATTTTATTCCTTAAACCACCAACAAACCTCTACGCTGTTGTCTCCTCTGGCTGACGACATCGGGATCCACTGCAGCTACTGTTATATTTCCCAGCTAATTTGTGTACATCTACGCGTGTGTGTCTGTGTGTGACTTCGCTTAGGTGACTCATGGTTGCTGAAGGTGCTTCATGGGGGAGGGAAGATTGAGTAAACACACACACACACACATAAGCTCACATGTGGAGTGTCTGGCAGCGAGGGAGGCCTCCTACAGTGAGTGCAGTTAGCTGTAGCTCTATTGAACAGTGCAGAATAAAGAGCAGCGGGCCCAATGGAGCGGCCTCCTTCTCGCTTCGCTTTTCTTTTGTTTAGACACCACTCACATGACCTCACCTCTTCCACTCAGTCTCATTGCTCTTTTCTCTCTGGCTTTAATCGTCTTCCTCGTTTCTTTTCTCTTCAGTCAGAAAACTGTGTGTAATATAGCTCCAGTGTTCTCCAGAGGCTATCGTGCACTGTAACCCGCAGTTGACACATCCCTTTTATTGCCACAAACATCGGCACAGTAGTGCTATTTATTCCAGATTGTGTACAGTTTGCTAAAAACTGAGAGAAAATTTTTTAAAAAAGGTATTTTGGAGTCTTATTTGACAATGAATGTGGACATTCAAAATGATTTTTCAACGCAATACGCTCAGATACTGAATGTTCACAAGCAGGTTCAAAGTGATTATTCTGATAACAGATGCAAAATTTCAAGGTTTGTTTTTTATAACAATGAATCATAATGTGGTGACAAACTGTGGGAGATGTAACTTATCTCAGCTCAGAGAACAATTGTTCTGTGATTTTCACAAATAATAATAATAATGATACTACTACTACTACTAATAATAATAATGATAATGATAATAGTAATAACTTGCAATGCAACAAGCTGGTGCAGCCATCTGTCATTTCCTTCAGAACAGGATTGAGACCACAGAGGATGGAATGCTGATCCATGGATTAGTTGGATTTTTAGAGTGGATGCTAATTTAGCTTTCTATCAACCAGTTATGGAGCCATAGAAAAACCAGAGAGCAATGAATCCCCTATGATCAAAATCGATGTAAATGTAACACTTAATCCAACACCTTTGGCCCAGTCACAGCCTTCGTGTCTTCTCTCTTTCTAACTAACAGTATAGACCTATTATTCAGACTCTTTCCCACACTCTGTTAGTGGGTGGTAAAGGTTGATTAATTCATGGGGGCTGCATACAACAATTCTGCAGGAACTTTCTTACACATCAACTCGAGGAAGAAACAATAAAGTCTTACTTCTTGCTTCATTCAGAACTCTCTTTTAATGTTCAAGGTTGAGAGGTTTCCCACATGGATGACAGCCTGAGTCACGGACTGTACTGCCGCGTGTGTCCTTTCACTTGTTTAAGGGCTTTGTCTGCCTCTCTACTCCTAAACGTCACAGACTTCATCAGAAATAACCTTCCTAAGTACATACATTTCCAGGAAACACAGCAACACAAAGAGCTTTATGTGTTAATACACAGAAATTTATTATACCAGAGATGAGGAAGCACGCACACGCACACACACACACACACACACACACACATACACAAACACACACTGGTCTCCGCTCAGCCTTTCACCTCGGTACCAGCATCCCCCTAGATTCTCTAATTGGCCCACAATGAATGGACTCTTATTCTTCCACTTCTTTCCCTTCGTATCCCTCCTTCCTTTCTCCTCCTCTTCCTCTCTCCTCATCCGTCCCTCATTTCATTTTCTGCGGCTCTGGAACAGAGGAAGGAAGTGTGTGGACAAGTGTGTGAACCCTTCTCCCTTTCTTCTTCCTCTCGCCTCTTGTTTTCCTTCTTCTGTATTTGGTGAGTCAAAGCAGTGAGCCAGGGGCCCTTAAATGCGCGGAGAGAAAGACGGGGGCCCTCCTCTTAGTTTCGTCTTTAGTTACTGTGGACACAGAGGCTGCTTGAAAAGCCCTTTTCTAAAAAGAAGGGCAAGAGTGGAAAGATCCAAGAGATTTAAAGTGGGTTTGTGTCATTAGTTTTCAGTTATTTTCATCAGTGACTGTGTTAATAGGTTCAGAGTGAGGAGTGGGGAGTGAAGTTAAAAGCGGTTTGCTCCGTATTTTGGATTGGATGTTGGCTGATTTGCATAGTGTTTTGGTGATTGGGTGATATTTGGGTGATTTTTTCCAGATTTACATCAGTCAAACTGACATGTGAAGGTCTATTTCAAAGTGTGAGCTGAAATTCCAGTGGATTGTTCTCTAATCTGTGTTGTTTCCTTTGTCCCCCGCCCTTAGGACCTCATTGTGGACCAGACCATAGAGAAGGTGTCATTCTGCGCTCCTGACCGTAACTACGACAAGGCCTTCTCATACATCTGCAGAGACGGGACAACCAGACGGTGGATGTGCCACTGCTTCATGGCTTTGAAAGACTCGGTGAGAGCAAAGTTAAACTTCTTTGTGTTGAAGACTTTTCGTTAGACTTCATATTCTGGAAAAATAAATATTTCAAAAACAGTCACCGCTGTCATATGTCAGGGTGGCAGCATGTGTTTTGATGTTAGTATGACTTTCCCTTGATCCAAAGCATGCTATCAACAAACATAGACTTTAGTATTCTTGCTTTCATGTTCCGTTTAGCAGTGAGAAATTGTTGGCATAGTGAATTGGGGAAATTGAGTCCAATTGAGTCAAATAGAGTACCTTGTTTTAAAAAAAAAAACACATGTATATATATATATATATACATCAATTCATTTTCGCAACCGCTTATTCCCTAATGGGGTCGCGGGGGGAACTGGAACCTATCCCAGTTGTCAATGGGCGAGAGGCGGGGTACACCCTGGTCGGCGCGCCAGTCCATCGCAGGGCCACACAGAGACACACAAGGACGAAAGACCACGCACAGTCACACTCACTCTTAAGGGCAATTTGTAATGTCCAATCAACTTAAAAAAAAAAAAATATATATATATATATATATATATATATATATATATATATATATATATATATATATACACACATAATATGTGTGTAATGAATGTACACATAATATGCTCCAACCCATTTTATTGTATTAAAGTTTCAAAGTACATTTGTAACTGACTGAATAATCAGTTTCTGTTTGCATTTTTCATGGTCGACACTGGGTTGGATTATGAATGCGGACACAAGAGAAGGGAGCACAGACCTGCAGGATTAGAGATGGGGATTAGACAGGAGCCTGTAGGGTTATCTGCCCATCTCTGTCTGTCTCTGTTTCCACTGCACACTCCACATATCTCTACACGCCCGTCTTAAGCTGAACTGTCTCTCCTGTTGCTGTCATGGCTACCTCCACAGAGGGAAGATGCAAAGCCAGACAGATGGAAATGCAGATATTTTATTTTTTGCCAATGGCAACATGAAAGAATCCGTAATCCAGATCAATTTGGTTTGATTGTTGGCTGGTGGAACAATGGACAAACAAATGTGGGCTTTATGTGATAATTTTGAATATCTGATATAAGTATAAGTGTAAGCAGTTAAACTGTTACCAGGGACAACTAGGAAGGACAAACACATTCAATCTTAAAGGAAATTCTTCTTAAATGATAGAAACTAATGAGTAATTTATGGAAAACATGTCTTCCATTTGTCGTATGTTTTTTTTATGGAGTATCTGTGCACAATAACACTGAAAATATACCTTTTATACATATAAAACTTTTTTGTGGTTCCAACCTCTGCTTTCCTGAGTCCTTAAGAAAGACATAACACCACAAGACACCGTCATAGAGGAAAAAAAGAAGCTCAAAATAACAAAATAAGTGGCGTATATTTGAACGCAGCTTTGAGTGTATAGACAAGACTATTTAGGTGCTGTCCATCTACCATGAGATTGGAAAGACTAAGCCTAAGGTCCCTTGTACCTGCCACCAATTTGTCTACAATGTTGGATACAAAAAATCTGTCTGACACAGTGTTATGTAAACTCTGCAATGTCCCTTTTGTGTGTGTGCTGCTGGCATCAATTTTAGATTTGATCATATGTAAAGAATAATTTATTTGGATCTTCTCAACTTGACTGTTGAAATGGGGCTCGTAGACGTTTGCTGTCAGTAATGACGCTGTTGAAATCTGAGGTTTATCCTCAGATAATGTGTGAAAGAGCAAAATGAATTATTAAAATAGATGAATAATGTAAAAAGCTATGATGTGCATGCAGAAAGTCTTCCATTTGTTGAGTACTTAGTCAGACTTAACTTTCACCGATCAGAGGCGATGAAAAAATCAGGTTCGATCACACACAGCCATCACAGCAATTGAAAATGTCACAGACACCGTTTGATGTACCTTACAGATTATTCTAATTTACTTTTTGTAACAGGGAGAGAGACTGAGCCATGCAGTTGGCTGTGCCTTTGCTGCTTGTCTGGAGAGGAAGCAACGCAGAGAGAAAGAGTGTGGCGTGACGGCGTCGTTCGACGCCAGTCGCACCTCGTTCGTGCGCGAGGGCTCGTTCCGCATTAACTCGTCTTCCAGCCAGCAGGGCAGCAGCAGCGAGAGAGATGACAAGCTGCAGGATAAGAAGAAAGGTGAGATTGTCCAAATGATGAAAGATCCGAAACACCGAGAGCCAACATGTTGCGTAAACAGGCGTGAAGTTTTTGGACATGATATTTATACAGTGGGGGAAATAAGTATTTGACCCCTTGCTGATTTTGCAGGTTTGCCCACTTACAAAGAATGCTTATTTTTCCTCATCAAATGGTTATCATTTTTTATAAATTCATATTATGTCATTTTTCTGGAATTTTCTTTGGGATTCTGTCTTTTCACTGTTAGAATGTACATATGATTGTTGCATTCTTTGTAAGTGGGCAAACCTGCAAAATCAGCAAGGGGTCAAATACTTATTTCCCCCACTGTAGGTCGGAGTACATGAGGGCTAAGTTTAACGGAACTGTCGTCCTCCAGATCAGCCCTCAGTCATCCCAGCCGTCCCACCCGGCACTGCCTCCCCACCGGAGGGGTCGGCGTCTCCCATGGAGAGGCCCGAACCAGGTGGGCCTCACGCCATCCCTCGCCGCCACGCGCCCATCGAGCAGTTGGTACGCCAAGGCTCATTCCGGGGATTTCCCGCTCTCAGTCAGAAGAACTCCCCCTTCAAGCGTCAGCTGTCGCTTCGCCTCAACGACCTGCCGTCCACCCTACAGCGAAAGACCGACTTCCAGGCCAAGAACCCTGGTGAGCTCAGCCATTATTTTGTGGTTGGATGAACACCTGCTGACGTTGTGGCCCCAGTTACATCTGTTGATTGTGGCAAAATGGGGCGAAAAAAATGATAACACTAATAAGGGGAAGGGGGTCAGAGAGAGGGGATAGAACATCACTAATATAACAAATGTAATATATTTACTTGTCAGGTGTCTGATAAGAACCAGTTTCATCAGCTTTTATAGACAAGAACCTTGTTGATGATATTATATCGCAGTTCTTATTGGATTAAATAAGGCCATGACAACACTAACATAATTCACTTTGTTCTGTTTTGTGTTTACATGGGAGCAATCAGCGTCTAATTTACATCTATTATTAAAGCGCCTCACAGTGCAATCAGCTGGGATTCATCACTTTTGTACGAGAAGGTTTATTTTTAATGCACTCTGCAAGCTCAAATCCCCAAATTGATATCTGTTACCCCGGAGAGGTCAAGGAACATTGCAGCTGACTTCACACAAACACAAATACACATAGGGACTCTGACATCCTCCTGCGTCATGGTTGTTTGTTGGAGCTTTATCACATTTTCCATTCAGCTTTTATGTTACATCACTGACCCTTATCTGAAGGGGTTAGGGTAATCACATAACAGAATAAACCTGCACCTGGTTGTATTCACAATAATATTCTCTTGTGGATAAGGACTAAAGCCTTCGGTTTATTACTTTTTTCTTCATCTTTTGTGAGTTTTGCATGGAAATCCATGCAAAACTTTGTGAAACTGCTATACTAATATTTATTGAAATGTCCATACTGGCTTTGCTCTGACAGTTTAATGTATACGTATTCACATGTAAAGAAACATGCAGGCATAGACACACCCATTCAGTTGTGGCGCCACAGGATCAGAGTGCTTAGCAGCAAGTCTGATTATAGTCATTAGTGGAGATGAGAGTCCCTCCAGTGACTGGAATACTAAACCACATTCAACAGCCACTCGCAATGCGTGTGTCACCGACGACCCTTTGATTTCCACTTCTTAGTTGTCAGTGAAGGGGAGCATATGCACCCAGCGGTGTTGCATCTAAAGCCCTTTGAATCCCACACTTTACGCACAGCGCTCCTACAGGCAATCGCACACTTTGACGAAATGTAAAACCGCCAGCGGCGCCCCTTCCTTGCCTCCCTCCGGACAATGTGACTATTGATTTGTGCGGTCAATCAGCTAACCTGGTTAGCCTTGAGCAAGTCCTCTACGAGCCCTTGAACCTGTCACTGCCCTGGGGATAACCCGCAAACACACACAGGCACACATTTGAAGTGCTCAGAGCTCCCATGAACTCCGTGGGATGCAGACATAAAAAGGAAAAAAAGATGGATCACAGGGTCTATCTTCTTTGGAACAAAGCAGGAATAAATCCTCAGTGGGAGACCTTACACATGCTTCCAGCGCCCTCTGCACCCCCAATATAACTCAAGGTCTGAAACCATACAATAAGCGCATTTAAAGAGATATAAATGTATTAGGAGAATGGCCTTGAATGGCACAGCAGTAGGGTGTAGCCCACAATGGGCCCATCTGTGGTGAATAACATTCATTTATCCAACTTCAGTGCCTCTTCAACTTCAGTCCAAGCCTGCACGTCAGAACTTCATTTGTCCATGTTTTAAAACTTGGCTACAGCATGAAAGTCATCACCAAATCTTCACTGTTTGTTTGAGCAGCAGACTCAAAACTACAGTCCGCTAACTTTTTTTTCTGTTGCTCATATCAAAAGATCCTGATTATCTTAATGCACCTTTGTTGTTGCATAGATTGATGAATATTTATTTCTTCTTCTCTCTGCTTACCTCACCCCCCCCACCCCCATTCCTTTTCATTCTTCGCCTTTTCTCGTCTTCCCCTTTGTGTAATCCTTTCTTGCCAGTACCAGAAATGGACATGGGATTACCGGGTGAGGACGACAGTAGCATTGACGCTTTGTGTTGCCAGATCAACAACTCTTTCACCAAGCCGTCGGACGAGCTTTTCTCAAATGCCTCCATGTCGACAAACGGACCATCAACTTGCACTGTGCCCCCTATTCTACCCCCGCCGCCTGCACCGATGCAGGGTGAGAGAGAGAGTTGGACTGATTCATTAGCTCACGGAGCTACAATGGGTTGTGAGGAAGGGACGGCGCTTTAAAATGTGTTGGTTTTTTTTCTCTCCCCTCTTCCAGCCACTTCATCTTGGATGCAGCCAGAGGCTCCGCTCCACTCGCCTCCTTCGGTTCCCGTGGCGATGCACAGTGGCCACAAACGCACGCCCTCAGAAGCCGAGAGATGGTTAGAGGAGGTGTCCAAAGCTGTCAAAGCGCAACAGACGCCTCCGTCATGCCCCACCATCCCCGCTATCCCCGGGCCGCCTTCCATGACCAGTCATCCGATATCCCAAACAACCATGTCAGCTGCCCCAATGTCTACCGTCCCCATGCCCCTGGGCTCATTGTCCAAACCTCTTATCTCGGGCCCCTCTGCCCTTTCAGGTCAAAGCCCGATGCCCCTCCCACCGATGGCGATCTCATCTGTTCCTTTAATACCAGGCCCTCCCGTCACAGGTCCCCCGATGTCTCTTCCATCCATGTCCATCCCCACCATGTCAGGTCCGAGCATGTCCGGCGCTCCCATGTTGCAGCCCGCTCTCCCCGGACCCCCCGGCTCTCTTCCGAGCTCCATGCAGCCGTTCCCGCTGGCTTTTGACACCACTCCAGCCCCCGTGGGGATGTTCGCCAGCCAGCCTGTCCAACCCTCGTTCGTGCCCATGCAGACCTACATGCCGGGTCTGGCCAGCAGTATGACCTATCCCAACGCCAGCGTTCCCGTGGTGGGCATCACTCCATCCCAAATGGTAGCCAACGTCTTCTGCACGGCCACGGGCTCGTCAAGCACCGGCACCACCATAGGCTCAGCCGTCGGAGGATCAAAAGTCGGGGCGCTCGGAACAGTCGGACAGCACCATTCCTATCCAGGAGCACCTGGTGCCGTTGGGCCCGCTGCAGGTTTCCCCGCAGCCACGTTTTCCTCCACTCCGCCGCTATCAACTGCCATTAATGGCCTCCCCCCGCACAGCAGCGCAACAATGGTCCTCCAAAATGGGACGTCCGGCAGCGGTGGGAATAGTGGAAGCAGTAGCAGCTGGCCACCAGAGGGCAGCCAGCTGACGGCGCCGGTGATCGCCGAGTCCCAAGAGGATGACCGTTTTGAGGCGAAATGGGCAGCACTGGAGACCAAACCAGGGCCACAGCAGCAAGGGAATAAGTCCCCGGCAGGCACAGCCAATCCCTTTTCCAACAATCTGCAAAAGACTTTTGAGATTGAGCTTTGAGCCAGATTTGGTCTCCTAAAGCCGTAGCACTAGTTTATTGAGTTAAAGCCCAAGGAAGTCAGGCACTGCATCCAGCATCTTTACGCAGATGGGCTGCGGGTCCTGTAAGATGACCCTGCGTCCATCCTGTGACTGCCTAGCAAAATCGCTGAAAGCTCTCAGTGGAGTCAGTGCTACAAGGATCTCATTTGCTTTCTTTATGCTCTCTTCTGAGTCAAAGAAGAACTGAGTGGTTTACTGGGCTGCAATCTAAAAGTCAGGTGTCTAGCTCTCTAACCTTGATGGACTCCACCCGCTGCCTGCATCCTGTCCCTGCTTTAATTTCTCCACTGTTGGCTTTTCTTGCTGCACCTGACCCCCCCGCCCCCAGATGTACTGCACGTGCCCCCTCTGAGAGCACATGGAGGGACACAGCTCGGCGGTTTCTTTCTTCTAAAGGGGGATTCCACTCAGTTGCATTCCAAATCCGTGAGACGTCTTTTGGACGTTTTGCTTGATTTTAGGTGGAGTTTCTAAACGGCCTCATCCCAACTACGGAAAGACGCAGCGAGGCGAATCTGTGACCAGACTGACGCTGACCTTAGCGAAGCACAGCAGAAATTTAGATGCCTGAAAGGACTGATCGATAGTAGAGATTTATGGCCAAGATTTTATTCTATTTATTGTATTTTATTTGGACGTTTGACAAGTTTTGTGTACTTTGAAATCCAAAAGTTAAAGCAGTGTTTCGCGAGCATGTTGGTTATTTTTTTTTTACAATCCCCTTCATGTTTGTTTTTCTAGTTGCAGGAAATCTACAGGTAACAGAGTTGATGAGGAAGACTGGACTTTAGAGAAGGAAAAGCACTGTGAGAATAGGAGTCATGTGACAAGAACCAAAAGGAGCCGGGGCTTACAGTGCAGAGATGCAGTGTCGGATGTCTGATCAGTGTATATAGTGGCATGTTTCTTCCACCCGTCCGCCCCCAAACTATATATGCTTCACATTCGCTGAGGCCAGCTGAGTCACTGCGGCTTCAGCTGACTGCGTAGCTCATTTCTATTGCTAATGCCGAAGAAAAAGGGCATCAGGATATGAAAAATCACTTCAGGATAACCAGCACACAGACACTCTGGACAATAGAGCACACAGCGGTCCTTTGTACTCCATGTTCAAACCCAAGGAACTATAACAACTCAGTGAGAACAAAAAACAAACAAAAAAACTTCTACAACACTGTGCAACTGCTTGAAAAACAAACACACTACATTCCAACATTCATAATCTCTGATATGTGTTCAAACACAGGGTATAATCTCATTTTGTGGTGTGATTGTGTCCGCAACCTCTGTATCTGCTGTCATAGCGATGCACTCATAACAGATTTTGGGACCGATTCTCAGATGGGAAAACATAACAAACAAAAGAAATAACGCATGCCGATCTGACTCATATGCGAAGAATGAAATGATCTTGCTTAGTGAATGTAAAGCGGTTGACCAATTGCGAGATGAAAGAAAATGACGAGCTGGAGAACAGAGTAGAAAATAAGAGACAGAATGGAGCGGCTGTATGTGAGAGACGGAGGACGACCAAGGAGCCATACCTGTAAAGAAAGACAACGGGTAAGTTTGACAGAAGGGGAAATTAGATAAGATGTGACAAAAAAAAAAAAGGAAACCACAGGGAGGGAGCTGGTGTGAAAATATTGAGGAACAAAGACACATTCATCCCTTGGCTCACAACACAACGCGCACTGTCTGCTTTTTTCTTTCGTGAAAGGCCGAGCCGCTTCCACTTCAGCTGCCTATTCCTTATCTTCCTAAATCTCTTCGGATCAAAGTTCGGAAAGAAATATTGCTTACTATATTATTGCAAATTCATAAACTTCTTTGTAACTATGTGCAATTCATGATACAGTGTAAATGTCAACAAAGCTTTCAGAATTTTGAGTTTGGTTGTGTCGAAGCAGATGCAGCATTACAAAAATTAGAAAAATTTATCACTAAAGGGCTTTTCCACCATTTTTTTCTGAGTCTCAGATGCTCCTCTTATGCTCCTTATGAATATGCCAGCTCTTCTCATTACCCTGTTCATTGTTTGAGAGCAACTTATTAGGTGTTTTTTTTTTGTTGGCAGCAGTCCCATTTGATGGGCTGAGAATCCAAATTTATCCTGTTACACCACTTAAGATGCTCCCAGGGTGTATGTAGAAATTGACATTTCTTCTCTGAACAAACCCAAACTTCTCTCTCTTTACCTTCCTTTCTCTGCAGAACGAGACCACTTTGGTCATGAAATCTACGGTTTTGTGACAATAGTACATTTTAGACCCCGACTCTTGTTTGCACGCCCTCCAAATTATAAATGTAGGTTAATTGTGCTCCGCGTTAAAGCAAACTAAATGACCTCATAAACTTGATTGTAAAACCATAGTTTAGTGATGGTAACAAAGCAAACCAGTGGAGTTTATTTTTAATCTTTATTTACAGAATTTTTGTATTTAAACCAACATATTTGTATTGTAATTACATTGTACAAAGGAAAAATAAAGTAATATAATAATACAACGTCTCTGTTTTTGTTTTCTGTTCCATCCTGCTTGGCATTTTCATTTCCGTGTGTTATGTCCTCAAGCATGACTAACACTTTGATTGCCTTTCAGAATTCCTGCTGTTGTCTTACGATAAATCCAAATCTCATACTCTTAAATTGACACCTGTTTAAATAGGACCTCCCAGTGAGATTTAAATAGGTTAGAGTATAGAATCTTAACACCGACAAGTCAAAAGCAAAACTGAGGAATGTTGGGCAATATGCTGGCTTCTTTTTTTGGTTGAGAAGGAAATTCACAAACTTGGTAAATCTTCAGAACATTATCAGCTCTGGCATCAATTTGTTTTTCTCCGCTGAGAAATTTGGATAAAAATGAATAATGTAGACAGGAATTCAAGTAAAATACAGAAATGATAAAAGTATAATGGTTAAAAGCATGGAGAACTGTTCCCCAGGTTGTGAAACAAAAACAGAACTTATCCAAATTCTACACTAAAGATAATTTAAGCCCACAAAACTAATGCAGAAACTTTTCAGCTGCTGTCTGATCAAATTCTGAACATGATATAGATGAAAGAGCTTCCATTCAAGAGGTCACACCTGAACACTCGGACTCTTCTCCTGGGTTTAGAGGTTGTAAACATAGGCTGGGATTAGAGCCAGCAACCCTGTTGCTGGGAGACAATAGTGCTAAACACACTAATGTACAGCCCATCATTTAAGGATCAAACCAGCACCTAAATCAAAGGATGAACTAGTGTCTACACAAAACAGATGAAGTGTCTGTTCCAAATTACATCTTTAAATACTTTGTCATTAGCAAAACTGTAAAGATGGAAAAAAAAAACAGTATTTTTGCACCATGCAGGATCTAAAAGACGCAGCTGGACCAGGGCTTGAGAGCTTCGGAATGTCCCTCCAGTAGCCTGGATAACTGCTCTTGAAAACTACTTCTAGAAATGACAAAATTTCTTGTTTGAGAGTATCTCTTTCAAAAGGAAAATGGTCTCATCGATTTTTTATTGAGGGAAAAAAAAGTGATAGAACTGTTTTTCTCAGCCATGTCTTGAAGAGCTTAGACCTTGTCAGATCTCAAGTGTGCGACAGAAGAATTGACAGCAGCAAACATTAAAACATCAAATGTAAGCCCACACAACCCATAATGACAATCTACATATTACAACCTGTGTTTGAGTAATGACAACTGGCACCCCACATAAACCAATAATAAACATTATCCTGCATGGCTTGACAGCAAGTGCGTTTTCAGCCCACGTGTGTGCGAGAATCAGTTCACGGTTGTAAGAAAAAAATTCTTCTGTACAAGACTGCAAAGCAATCTTTCTATTTTACCTTTTACAATACAACAATTATATGTATCTGGTTAACAGATCCAGCAAATAGCAGGAGTCCTCAGTCAGATAGAGTTAGATCAATTATTGAATATTAAAAAGCAATCCACCCTGTGTAAAACATCCAGACATGGCAGTCAGCAGTTTATAAGATTGTTATGCCTGGCTCTTACCTCAGCAATCTCCTGTTTCTACCCTTTCTGTCTGTCTAACCCCCTCCTAACTGCTGCTGAACGTGCCTCTGCCTTATCAGCGCTGTCCTCGAGTAAGCCTGCCTGAGTGGTGCTGCTGCAACAGCTTTAATCGCTAATGGAACCAGACAAGGCCTCTTTTCTTGGTGAGGGCCAGGAGAAAAGAGAGCGAAACGCGCGCACTCGCGCACACACGGAGCTATTGAGCCGTAGTGGCAGTAACTCTCCCCGCCGTTGCCCTGTGACCTCACGACAGAGAAATGGGAAGAGGTCAATCTGCAGTGTTGTAAAACGTCCAGTCACTCCTTTAAATTCACTCTCATTAAATCACACGGAGTGCAACTAGCTAGTAATGTGAAAATCAATTCCATCTAATTTTTAAAGAAGCAATAATTATTTCCGCGGTGAAGTATCAAGGGTTTTTTATGTGCTCCTTTCTAGATAGCTGTTGGCTGGTCGTGTCGAGGTTTAAAAGAATGACAGATGACTTGTCATATGACTTGTTTTCATACAGTGCAGTGCAGTTCCAAGACACCTCTTATTTCTTCACATTTTGTGCACAAAAAAAAAAAGAAAAAGAAAAAAGAGCCCTCTGAAAGTCTGAGGAGCATTAGGAGTTTTATGGGACACTAGCGCCAGTTTTTGGTCAGAATCTATTCATTGCGCCTAAACCTTTTGCATAATTTATTTCAGATTTATGTTTTTTCCCCCCTTTTTGTATTACAGCTTTATGCGTAATAACGCTAACATATGAATCACCCATCCATCTATTTTCCATACCTGCTTAACCTAAAATTACAGTGGTGGAGAAATCTGAACATGTTCGAGCTGAAATGATCCTATTCCTCTATGATACCATACTTTGTATTTCAACCTAATTAAACGATGAAGAATATTGCTTTCAGGAATTTTCTATGCCAGCCCTAATGCATAATCTAGCATTTTCTTTCTTTTCCAACCAACCTACTAATGCACCCCATTTGTTTCAACGCATATCTGAATAAACGGATTGACTGCAGACATCAAATCTTTTGCCTTGAACCACGGGCAGCCACGGTTTCTGCTTTCTTCTTCCTCCTACTTGCGTTATGCCCCATCACAGTTAGTCGCAACAGCCTATATAAGAGAAGGGGATGTGTGGTTGCCGTGGTGACAAAGTGGAAGATTCATTTGTGTCATCTGAAAAGTGCGGGAATCAGCAACACTGCTTCAGATACACATCGAGTAAAAAAACTAAGGCGACATTATACGTGTGAATGAGTTGTTTTTTCAGCAACAAATGCAACTGGTTTAGGGCAACCGTTTATCCGGAGGTTTTTTGGGAGGAAAACTGTGTCACTTTTTCCAGTGAAGTGTGTGTGTGTGTGTGTGTGTGTG